GTTTAAGTTAATTTACGCACGTTGCTGTCAGCTTTGTTTGCTGCGACATTGGGGTTCGCATGCATTTGTCCATATTACTAAATTCAATATGTGCCAAAATGTCATGGGTAAATATTCACAATACCCACACACATTTGTGACAGTTTTGGATTAATGGAACTCAACGTAGGAGCATGCAAGGGGGCAGCTGGTAGAATCCATAAGTGAGGGCTGYATTTTTATTTAGATTGTAGTTTTGGATAATTTCAATATTTAAATTTGAAAATTCAAAAGATTAGAATAAGTAGGTTATGTAATTTTAGRTTGTCGGAAGAAAAGATTTTGCGAAATTTATGAAACTTGTCACTATTGAATATAACATGAGGCAATGCTGCAGCATTGCAATAAGGGATTRCAAATTCCACTGGCTTATCAATAGCGCCCCGTAGTAGTGGCTAAAATGCGGTTACTGGAGCTAAAACACCGAACATTATGCGTAAAGTGTCGGTTGTAAATGCATCCAAGTCAAGTTTACATTGGCGCGCTTGAACCGATTTCAAATTGGCGCATTTATTTTATTTCGTTTCGATTACCGCCCCTCCATAAGCTAGCATGAATGTGTGTTCGAATTTGACATACATACATATCAGTATATGGCGTTAYGTATGAATATGTTTGTTATTGGCACTGCGCCATAAGTTTGGATTAAATATTAAACGGATATGAATGAAAAGTGTCACCATGTCATGGCTGAAATTTTGATCTTTTGTGCGAATAAAATTTATTAAATTACACATAAATCATAAATGGATAAAATAAGCGTAAAACYATTATAAAGTTCAAAAGCAATTTTTGAATATTTGCTATATCTAAAAATTCTCAAAATAAGCTTCGCTTATCCATTTAAAGATCACTTGTCTGCACGGTCGTGTTTTCCGAAGTGCATGTAAGTGGTCAATTAAGCTTGACACTTGTACACACATACATGTTTGCKTTGCTAATTTGATTTGTGAGTGCTTTCTTGCCGCTTAGGCTTTTCTATTTTTCAATGTCAGTTCGAACAGTCACACATAAAAGAATTGGCAYAGACGAATGTATTAATTTGTTCAGACATTTATGCTTTGAAAGCTTTTAGTTATGTGATCCTCTAACCACAATGAATTCTAAGACAAAGTAATATGTTTTTATACTCTGGTTATGGCAAAGAATTTTAATAAAATGCTACCCCCTACTCCAATATTTTCTCTAACGAATTTCTTAGACCTTGATTTTTGCATCTTGCAAGAGTATAAAATGTTCGGTTAGATCCGAACTTAGCTGCCTCCGTGCTTGTTAATTGAATCCTGCCAATAGATGATGAAGATTTTTTCAAAAACATCACAAAATGTAGACATAATTTCTATCTGTGCGCGCTTTGGAAACGGTTCGTTCCGTGCGATCCACCTGGGAGAGCGTCAATCGATTTTCAGAGTCAAATGTTGAAAATAGATTTCATGCAATGATTGTGAAGGCACATACATACTATATATTTATTAAAAGCCGCATTAAATGAGATTTACGTGTGCCCTTAGCAATTTTTCGAAATCGGGTTAAGGTGTAATTCCAACTGGGGGCATATCCACATATCGGTAATGTGATGCCTTTCCTTTTGCTTATTTACAACTGCTTCTAGGTATTAAGTATAAGATATTATACAGTTTACGCTCTCAAACCAAAGTGCTCATGCAACTTAAGCTGTATACGTCAATAGATATATACATTTACATACATGTTTAATACATCAATGCACCACGTTGCGGCAGTACAATTATTCTACTAGCTTTTTAAGCGTGAAATAAAACAGAATATTTATATATACATACATACATTAGTCCAAGAATGCAAACCAGTATGAGTAAATATTTTATTGAAAGTCTCAAATCTTTCATAAGAGAAAGATATGATTTCTTAATGCCAGAGAATTTTTCACGTTGTCGTCCTAAATTGGTTATTATTGTCCTAGCCGTGATTTGAAGCAATAGGTCTCAGATAGATGTTGGTTTATGTGTACTTAACAGAAAGTTATCRTAAACATAACGTAAACATAACAAAATAACTCAATTTCTGCCAATAACTAGAGTTTCAGTTTTTGAGTTTTGGATATATTTGCCTGTGCTTAATTCGTCATTTATTAGACWTATGGAGCATATTATGTTTGGCAATGATTTACTGTCAAGAATAGTTSTACACATATTTATATCTGTATATATGTATATAGTATCTTGCAGGAGCTTATAGAAGTAAACGAAATAGTTGCCATTGTAGTATTGTATGAAAAACTTGAAAACCGAAAATATTGGTGGGGGTAGATAAGATTACACACTCACTTTCTACAGATCTCGATGTTTCTCCATTTCTCCAAATTATCGTTTAATTTTGTTTAATAGAAACCATTCAGTTAATTAAAAAATGGAAAATACAATAAGTGGCACTGSTTTGTGAACAAATTCCATACGAAACCTTTTAAAGTGGAACCTAACCCTCCTTATGTTAGGATAGATATATAAAAATTTAGCTTTACTAACTTTGGTCATAACGACAAAATCGCAGTTTTTCTTCCTCACAAATCGCTTTACCAATTTCAAGATTCAGTATGTAAGATTCCGCAGATTCCCTCCTGCTTCATTAATGGCATGAAAGAAAAGTCTGATAAGATATACCSATTCCAAGGCTATATGAAAATTACCCTATTCATTATATTATATTTAAGAGCTCATTCTAGGAGAGCTCTTCTTAGAGGTGTCTATAAACACCTTTGTTCAGCGAATCAAGCGAAGAAACATTCGTAGTTTTTTGATTCACCCTAATATATATATATATATATACATGCAATCTATATATATAT